AGTTTGAGTTTTAACTTCCATGGAAACACAAATAACAGTGCCAGGACTCTGCACTCAGTGAGAAAACACAAGCCTGTGTGCTAAGATGTAAGAAGTACATGGAATGTATATTTCAGACAGCTTCATATCAAAAATGCAGAAAACCATACCAATGAAAAAACTGTATCGGGCCGGCCCGGTGGCGCACTGCTACAGTGCGCCGCTTGGGAGTGCGGTGGCGCTCCCGCCGAGGGCTCGGATCCCACATACAGACCGGCCGCTCACTGGCTGAGCAAGGTGCGGGAGCAACACCGAGGGTTGCGATCCCGTTGCCGGTCCCGGTCCAGTACGGGCACAACACTGAGGGTTGCGATCCGTTGCCGGACACGAAAAAAGACAAAAAGGAAAAAAAAAAAAAAAGATTCTGATTTTATATAACATCCAGAAGTTGAGCAGGATAGGAGTAGAGTGTAGAGTGTGTATTAGGAAGTTTCGGGAAATGAGAAGTAATTTTTTTTCATTCCTGTCTAAATGAAACATCGCTTTGAAATCTTTTTTAACCTGTGATTATCTAAGTCTTTAAAAATCATATTAAGAAATCTTGTTCTTGATAGTAGTGCTCTGAGGTGGAAGTACCCAATCCTTGAGTTTCATTTACCCCAGCTTACATGTTCTATCTGTAGTCTTTATATTTAGGGCTCTAATTCTGATAATATTAGATGACTTTTAAAAAGCCTGTAGGAATAGATATATTTATATATATATTACCCTTTTCTACATTACAGAAAATGAATGGTCATCTCCGGTTACTGAATATTGCTTGTGCTGCAAAGGCCAAGTGGCGACAGGTTGTGCTGCAAAAGGCTTCCCGTGAGTCCCCTCTGCATTTCAGCCTTAATGGAGGAAGTGAGAAGGGATTTGGTATTTTTGTTGAAGGAGTAGAACCTGGTAGCAAAGCTGCTGATGCAGGATTGAAACGTGGTGATCAGGTAAATGAACAACAAATCACTTAGACTAAAGCCTTCTTGTAAGTAGTGTGTCTACTACTTTTGTTCTCATCTGATAGTTCTTCGAGTAAGCATGAACAGTTTAAAGAAATATTTTTCTGAGCCTCTTTTTAGACATATTTAAATTTTTTTTTAAATGTATTTGTCATATATCTATTCCTTTTAATGGAAAACTTGATATAATGTGGCCAGAAACAGCATAGTCTGCTGGGTTCTATCAGCAAGACCTCCTTGAATGGGCGTGCGCGTCCCCCAAGGATTAGAACTGTATCAGCTGGCAACTTTAGAATATTCTGTGGCCAGAAACAGCATAGTCTGCTGGGTTCTATCAGCAAGACCTCCTTGAATGGGCGTGCCCGTCCCCCAAGGATTAGAACTGTATCAGCTGGCAACTTTAGAATATTTCAGAAAGATTAATAAATGAGTTAGCACCATGGCAAGTTTTTAAGGAGGGGCACTTCCACCTCATAGCATTCTCAAATGTAAGTGGCCAAAGATTACCGTAAGTGATGTTATCATCTTAAATAATGTTCAAATGGTAACCTTGCTACGTCCATAAGCACAGTGAGCCAGGTGAAGGACTAGGAAAAAAGGAGACACTGGGAGGAATTTGATGGTGATTTATTTTTTTCATATAGGCATTAGGTAACTGTAGAGCAGCCTGTTTAAAAATGTGATCTACTGACAACCTTGTTACATAAAAAATGCAATTTGCAGGCTTACCTCAATCCTGTTAATTATATTAATAACATTCTTAAGAGATGCGGTTTGGGAATCTGTATTTTTAACAGAGTTATTTAGATGATTCTGGTGCATACCAAAGGGTGGTTTCCCAAATCTAGCTGATCATCAGAATCATGTGGGAAACTTACTTTTTCCCATTTAAACATTTGTTCATTCATTCATTTAGAATATTGCTTTATTTTACTTTTAACTCAGCTATACTGTCGTTATTTTAAATTATGAGGGCATTCATGTTATAAAAGGATAGTGGTTCTCAACCAGTGGGTGATTTTATCCCCAAGGGAACACTTGGCAATGTCTGAAAATATTTTTGATTATCATGACTTAGGGATTACTACTGGCATGTAGTGGGTAAAGGCCAAGGATGCTGCTCAACAGCCTGTGATGCTCAGGAGAGCCCGCACAACAAAAGACTTATCTGGCACAAAATGCCAGTAGTGCAGAGGGTAAAGAAACCCAACAGTCCCCTTCTTTCTCTAAGAGAGTTTTTTGAAAATAGAGATTTTTGTGCCTTACCCTGGATTTACTCATTAGGAATATCCAATAGCTAGGATCCTGGACTAACTGTGATTTTTGTTCAAGTATTTTATCATAAACACATTTATGAATCTCATTCTTCACAGAAAAAAACAATTAGTGAAATCCAATGATTTCATTCGTAAGAATGAAATTTATCATTCTTACTTTAATCCTCCTAGCTATTGTTGAAATGATTTGAGATTTTAGGTCTAAATTATTAGACCTAATAATGTCATTTTTTTTAACACTAGATATCTTCTCTTTCAAGAATTTTTGACATTTGCATTGTTTCATAAGCTTATAAACAATAATTTAGACATTTATATACTGATTTCATTGATCAGCTCCTTTTCATCTATTCCATATGTATTCATTGTTTTGATTCATTTCACAGTTGCCTTTAGTACCTCTTCTAGTATTTTTTTTCAAAAAGGACAAGTGGGTACTATAGTTTTATGTGTCCTTACATGTCTTTTGTTCAGTGGCATACAAAATTATTTGGTAATAGTGACTTTTTTACTCAGAACATTGAAGTCACAGAAAAGCATCACATTATCTTAGTGTTGCCCAAGAGGAGTTCTTTTGTAGGAACCCTTGGGTTTTCTCCCACAATATTGTTTATAGATTCTTTATTCTTTGTCCTTTGAATTTAAAAATTTCATTGGGATATGTTAAAATAGGTATCTTTTTATTATCTTTGCATGGCACTAAGTGAGACATTTTAGCATATAGAAGCAAGTCTTTTTGAACTCTGGGAATTATACTGCTGTGGATTATTTTTCCTAATATTTTGTTTTTCACTTTATCGTTTTGAAATTTTTATGTCAATTCCCTAGATTTGTCCTCTGTGCTGCTTATTTTTTGCTCATTATGTTATCTCTATCCTTTTTCTTTGGAATCAGTATTTTTTAAAAATAAGCTACTGTGTGATTCTGGGGAACAGCCAAATTGGGGAAGCCCTACTGTGAAGTATCAGCACTATTCACATGGAAGAAGAACCCATCGTGCTTCTTCCTGTTTGGCTGCCTGATTCAATCAGTGGCAGGAAATGGTATTAAATATATTTAAAGTACTGCTTTTAAATGAATTACTTCTCTTTGAAATGTAATAAATTTACATTTAGAATATTTGATGAAAGTTTGTATATACATCACAAGCAGTAATTTCTGTGAGGTGATCTGACATAACTAAAGTTTTTCGTTCATATATAAATCATCCTGTGTTCTTAAAATATTTTCTTAGTATGATCCCAGAGGGGAATGAACTTTTTAAAAAATGTTCACAATAGAGAATTTGGGAAATACAAAAATGCAGAGAAAAATTAAACAGTAGTCCATCTTCTCACAGAGATAACCATTGGTCACGTATGGGTGCATTTTATTCAAGTTCCATTTTATTTTTTCACTATTAAACTTTTCAGTTTGTGGAAGTAACTAACAGTGTTTCTGTCTTAATTTGTATTTTTAAAATACTTTTCTCTTAAGATAATGGAAGTAAATGGACAAAACTTTGAGAATATTACATTCGTGAAGGCCCTTGAAATTTTGAGGAATAATACTCATCTTGCACTTACTGTAAAGACCAACATTTTTGGTGAGTTTTGTTGCAAAAACAGCCTGAACTTTTTGTAGTAAAATGTAAACATGTTTATGTTGAAGCTGTTGAGCTATTTTTAGGATCTTTAGTGTTGAACTATTATGTATTCTAGAATTTTCATTTTTCACTATTTGTATTTAATTATTATTTTGATATCTTAGTAAGTTTTAAAATAGGTGTATAACTACATTCAGTCAGTCACTTACGAAATGTCTATTAAGCATCTATTACATACTATACTCTGCAAGGGGATTCTGAATGAAACTTAAAATTACCTGAAAAACCTTAAAGGTCATAAGTAATCTTTTTTCTCCCTGCTGATGTGTAAGTCAGTCTACTTAAATAATCAGTGAATTACAGATTTTAATAACAGCATACTCCTTCTATGTAAAAATGTTGATTACAGTTCCTTTATTGTGCTTTTATCATGTTTATATTTGACTAAAGCCAGGGGGACTAAGCTTGTCCTTTTAACTAAACTCTTCTGTTTTGTCCTTTTAAACTTTGAGGAAAAGTTTATTGTCATTTGGTTTCATTAGACACCATGGGATTTTCTCTGAAATTCTAAGAAGGACAACATTAAGAATAGTACAGCAATTAAACTATCAAAGAAAATTTTAAAGGCCTTATGAAGTAGGGAGCAAAAAAATTCCTCTAGGTTGTGTAAATTGGAATTTGAGAAGTAAGAGTTGGCTTTAAAATCCATGCCTATGGAAAGAAAGGAAGTGTGTTTAATTTTTTTTTTCAGTTTGGCTCCTCATACAGTGATGAGTCATAATGAAAAATGAAATGTTTGGTGTTTTCTCTCATTTTATTTGCGTCCCTTTGACTGAATTACATCATGTAAAATCTGGTATATAACTGCCTCTTGGCAGTTTCCTAATACTATGTTACTTTAGCATAGAATAAGTAAGTAAGCCTTCACGGTTTTTGGATTTTCTGAAGTTTGGACTAGTATCTAGAAGTGCCAACTTTTAAGTTAAACTAAAGGTATCACAATTTTGAAAACCAGGAAAGCAGACCTTGCTCTTTCACCTTAGGCAAATTATTTAGTCTCTCCAAGCTTCAGTTTTAAGTTTCTCCTTACTCTCTATTTTCTAGGGTTCTTGTAAGTATCTAATACCTTTAAAACCTTTGTGCCTATCACATAATGATTACTAATTGGTATCAAATATTATTGTATATGAAAATATAGAGATAGTATAATATAGTCGTTAACAACATGTACTCTGGAAGACAGAAAAAACAGGTCTGAAGGATGCAAAAGGCCGGGAGGCCACACCCTCAGAACCCTTTGAGTGGTGAGAAAACAGTTGCCAAAAAACCCCTAGATTAGATGTGGCAGAGGACAGGAGTTATGTGGCGCTGCAAAAGAGGAGATGTACCATTAAATACCTTCTTCCTTACTCCAGTTAGAATGCAGTTAGCTAAGCAAAACACCAACGACTATCTCAAGGGAATATTTGTAAAACACTTCTAGAAATGGAGCATTTTAGTCTGGTTGTGATGCCCATGATAAGCCCTAGTAACTCTGGCATTACCATGAAGTAGAGTTGAGCAGTTACATCATCCTGCATGGAACTCACAGTCAGAATAACTACAAAAAGGAAGGCTGTGACCAGAAAACATTTAATTAGACGTTACCTGTATGAGTGTGTTTCTGTTGCTTATAACACAATACCTAGAACCGGGTGATTTATAAGAAAACGAAGTTTATTGCTTACAGTTTCTGAGTCTGGGAAGTCCAAAGTCAACTTATCTGGTGAAGGTCTTCTTTGGTGGTGGCTTTATAGCAATGCAGGGATCTCACATAGCAGGAAATGGCGGAGCAGAGAGAGAGTTACTCATGCACTCTCCTTTTAAAGAACTCAGAACCACACCACTATCATTATTCATCCATTTGCTTCAGCATAGTCCTACAATCTAATCACCTCTTTAAGGCCACACCTTTCAATTACCGTAATAGGATTTCCCACTCTCAACAGTTACAGTGGGAATTAAGCTTCTAATTTATGAACTCTGGGGACCCCATTCAGTCATTCCACAGCAATACCAGAGCAAATCATACTTGGTCATTTTTATTACTTAAAATTGACAGCCAGAGATCACAAGCATAAGGATAACCAGGATTACTGAGGATGTATAGGGGAACCTGATAAGTGATCTTATAGATCCTGAAGAAAACAGTTACTTTAGGAAAGAGAGGAAAAACATTTCTAGAGCTCTGCTCAGAGCAGTTTTAAAATGCCTTGAAACAAGAACAGGATGTTAGGGAAAAAGAAACAATAGTCACTGAGAAAGAAATAACTCTGAGTGACTTAAAATATGGTAACAAAGAAAAATATGGTAACATTTAATAGATACAATAGATAATAAAGTTGAGCAAATCTCCCAGACTATAGAACAAAAAGACAAAATCAAATTGAGTATTATTCCAAGAGACCTAAAAGAAAATTTGAGTAGGAAATAATAACAGAGACTTCCCAGAAAGAAGGTTGTGGCTCTTCTAATTTAAAAGGCCCACTTGTGATCTGAGCAAAATGAATTTTAAAAAAACATGTCAACTTTCTACTTACAGTATTGACTGAAGACAACTAAAAGAGCTAGACTAAATATAAAAAGTAGCTACAAACAAGCATGAAAGTCCAAAAAGATAGTGAATAATGACATGACATAGACCAGAGAGGAAATTGGATCTTAAAGAGGTGAATTGAAGCCATATCTGCCCTGGGGCATGTAGCAGTACAGAAAAGGCAACTGAGAGACTGACCTTCTTTTGATAATAGTCTTCCAGGAAAAGGTGAAATGGTTGGTGTCCTGTAGGTTGGAGGAGCACAGACTAGATATGTTAAATCCCTTCTCCACTCCTGAGAGTGTACACCAAAGGGATGTCTCTTTTTCCAGGGCCATTTTCCCACCCACAGAATGTAGTTGAGAGGAGGTGTTAAGTAAACACACAGGTTTGTAATTTATTGCCCACCAAAAAAGCCAGAGCACTCTAGCATAACAACCTTTATTAGAATTGGGACCTTGAAAGGCTCACCCTGAAGTGGATGTGGACTAGACTCTAGCTGCTCCTCTAGGTGGCCCAGAAAAACCTCAAGTTTTGGCCCAGGTCCTGGACTTTAGGTACCTGGCAAAAGAAAATAAGTATCTTCTTTAGAGAATGCTAACAGCAACCTATTATTTATAAGAATACTTTTTTCAAAAACAGAGTCAAACAAACAAAGGTTGTGAAGCACTCTTAAAAGTCAGTATAAACCAAGACCAACAGAAACAGAAGAAACATAGGTGCTCCAGAATATCAAAACAGACTGTAAGGTTGCTCTTATGTCCATGAAGATAAAAATCATATTAAGGGTTCCAGTTTTGGGTAAAATGAAGTTAACACATGAATGTTTCTTGTCCCACTAAACTTACTAAAACCTGGACAAAATCATGACCCACCATTTAAGAACTGTGAATAGCAAATTGCAGCAGGCAGATCATGAAAGGACACCAAAATCCAAAGTACCATCACCATTAGTGAATTTACTATTTTTTTTCCCTTCCGTATCTCCCAGCCAGACCTCAAGGCAACCTCAAACCTGGATATGGGTACTAGGTACAGAGAGATCCAGGAGAAGCCTGCCTTGAGGAATGGGAAAGGTAATTCCTAAAATTCAGACAGACTTAAGGAAGCCACCGCCTCCACGCTTTTTTTCGATCCAGGAGAAGCCTGCCTTGAGGAATGGGAAAGGTAATTCCTAAAATTCAGACAGACTTAGGGAAGCCACCGCCTCTATGCTTTTTTTCTTTTTCTCCATTTTCTCAGGCCCCATCCCCCAAGCAATCTAGTGTCAGTGACAGTGGCCTGCAACAGAAGAGTGAACGAGCCAGGATTCTGAGAGGGGGCAACTTTCCCCACCCTTCAGTGGAGCTGTGGCTCCAAGAGGGCAGGGCCAATCTCATTACTTTTTTCCCCCACTCTGTCTGTCTTTGTGCTACTTAGCCCCTATGCGCTGCAGTTTCTTTCTAGAGGACTGAAAAAGGGAGCTTTAAGGAACTGGAAAATTCCAGGTTCATAACTGAGATGGAGGAGATGGCCCCACACAGTTTATGCACTCCTGGGCTCACCCCCAACTTGTGCACGCGTGGATCTGATGCTATTAGCATACCATAGTCTTTAAGAACTGACATAAGAGGTAGACCTCTGGTCAGTTCCCAGACTGATAACAAGGTGGCACAAAGCGGACAGATCTGAATAGCTTTGAAAACTGAACATTAGAACCACAGCCCACAGAAGGCTAAACAAAAATATCAACATTCTCCCTAGGTTATAAAAAGGACTCAGAGCAATTTTAACTATAACCAGGATCTCTTGTTACAGTTTTCTTTATGTTTATTTTGTTTGGGGTTTGCTGAGCTTTTAAATTTGTGAGTTGATGTCTTTCATCACTTTTAGAAATTTCATGGCCATTATCACTTCAGATATTGCCTTTGCCCTTCTCTTCGCCTCCTTTCCAAGTGGGAGATCAGTTACTTATGTGCAATGGGATTGTGTCCCATATGTCTCTTACAGCCTGTCCTATTCTTTTCATTTTTTTCCCTCTTCGTGCTTCAGTTTGGATATTTTCTAATGATCTGTGTTTGAGCAAACATCATATTTTCTGCTGTATCCAGTCTGCTGTTAAACATGTAGTGAGTTTAATTTTAGGTAATGAATTTTTCAGTTCTAGAATATTCATTTGACTCTCTTTTATAGATTCCAGTTCTCCATCTTTTCTCCATTTTATCTCCTTTCCTCTATTTGATATATTTATAATGGTGTTATAAAATCCCGTGTGCTAACTCCAACATTTGGATTTTCTTTTATTGTTTTCCCTCTTGATTATCAATCATATTTTCTTCATGATCTTATAAATTTTTATTGTGTGCTATACTTTGTGTATAAAAGAACCTTAAAAAGGAATGAAATTATGGGCCGGCCCGGTGGCACACTCGGTAGAGTGCGGCACTTGGGAGCACGGCGGTGCTCCCGCCAAGGGTTCAGATCCCATATAGAGACCGGTCCTCTCACTGGTTGAGTGCGGTGCGGGCGCGACACCGAGGGTTGCGATCCCATTGCTGGTCGTGGTACGGGCGCGACACTGAGGGTTGCGATCCCATTACCGGTCACGAAAAAAGACAAAAAGAAAAAAAAAAAAAAGGAATGAAATTAATATTTTCTCACAGAAAGGATTTGCCATATTCTCTGTTTAAGCAGATAGGGTAAAGGGAATTGAGCCAGGTCAGGCTGGATTGCAGAATTACTTAGACTGAGTTCAGTGGTTTCAAGTTAAGATCAAGACTTGTCACGTGCTTCATGCATGCTCCCCTCTAGTGGAACTTCATCTCTAAATACTGAAAGATTGTGGGAAATTTCACTCTACCTTTTCAACCTTGTCATCTCACCTTCCTATTCTCCAACCCCTAGTCTCTACTTAAGGTGTGGCTTTAATTTAGAGTCTCGTAGGTTTCTGTCTCTTCTTTTATATAATTTCTGCCCTTCAGAAATTTTGAGGTTAGCTCTTTAACCTCCCATCCCAATCAAGTTGAGGGGTAAATCTGTTACGTATTGCAAGCCCCTCCCTGCTGTGTGACTGTCTCCTAAGTAAATTGAAACTGTGAGAAATTTGCATCCTGTCCCCAGTCTCCTGTATTGTCCTACTAATAGCAGATGCTCTGTGGTGAAAAGTGATACTGCTTTTGACCTTCTCTGTATTCCAGTTTTTATGACAGTCCTCACAGTCATCCGAAGTTCTCTCTTTTCCCTACTAGCATCCCTCTACCTGATCCACACCTTATGTTTAAATTCAGCAAATGCCCCCGGAGAAGAAAACTGGCAATCTCAGTTTACTCTCTTCCTGCTCTAGAATTTTAGTTCATCTGTTCCTCTTGGCTTTCACAACTTTTCAACATCTTTAAAAATCTCACTACTCAAATAACTTACTATTACCAGTTTTATTTTTAATAAAAGTAAGACATACATATATTTTGAAAATTAAAATGCTACAGGTACATTGTGGGACCAAACCATATACAATATTCTGAACTTTTTCACATAAGTTTGTGTAGATCTAGTTGTTGTTTTATAACTGTTAGTAATGCATAGAATTCCATTGTATTATCACCATAATCTATTGAGCTAATGTCATATTGATGGACATTTTAGAGTGTTTATAGTTTTTGCTATTAACAATATTTAATAAAAATCTTTTGTACTTATTTTTAATGCTTATATAGATACATCTATAAGATAAATTCCTCAAAGTAGAATTATTTTTGCCGGATACTACAGGGTTTTACTTTCTGAAAATTTATTTCAATCTACACTTTATTTATCAGCATAGAAAAATGCCTCTGCTGTGGGTATTATCACCTTTTTAATAATTCACATTCATTCTTTAATAATGAGTAAGGTGGAGCACCTTTTTGTCTGTTTTAACATTTTTTCCTATAAAGTCTTTTAATTTCATCTGTTCATTTTTGTATTTTGGGTTTTTTTAAGCACCTTATAAAAGACATTGTCTTTTTGTCTTAAAGGTTGCAGATACTTTCCCCAAGTTGTTTGTGTTTTGATTTCTCTTGTTTCGTGTATATAGGTACCTGCCTGCATATACACATCTGTTGCGAGAGAGACATTTTTAGTTTTTACGTAGTCAAATTTATTAAACTTTTCTTTGGGGGATTCTTGGACACCTTCATTTCTGATTTATACATCTGATATTCCTGTTTAATAACATTTTAAGTGCATTTGCTCACTATTCTTTAATTTTTGTCCTTAACTAATCTTTTTAATTCAGCATGATCATTTCTCTTCTTTATCTACAAATCACAAGCCCTACAGATTTTTATCTAAAATTACATACACAAGTCCAGTGAAGATAAAACTATTTTTTAAACTATTGAGTCTCCTTATATATACATTGCAGCCAGGGAAATCTGCTGGTCCTTAAAAGATTTCCTGTTGCTCTTAACAGAAAATTTAGTTACCTTACCTATAGTATTAGCTGGCATCTTCTCTATCTTGTTCTCTAGTTGTTTTTATTTTTTTGAACTTTCCTTCTATCATAGGGACTTTGAACTTGAGATTTCTTCTACCTAGAATTCTTTCTCCTTCCCTTTCTTTGTATAGTTTAAGTCTACTCATCTTTCTGTTTGCTTTTTGCAGGGTGACTTACTTAAGGGAGATTACTCCTTTCCTACTATCTTAAGTAATTTCTCTAGTTATGCTCTTTCTGTATCATGTATCTCAGACTGACTGTAAGTTCCACAATAGGCGGAATGAGGAATGTGCAAGCATGTAGTATAGAGCCTGACATATATTCATAGGTTCAATATTTTAAAATATTTTTTGAGTGGATAAATATCTTGATTTTTAGCTTGAAAAAAATATTTTTACTTTACTATGTAGTTTAGAATAAAGTGAAATTTTAAAAATAGAAACTGAAAAGAACTTTTAACGTATTTTAATCAAGCAGAGTATCTTTGAAAGTTGACTCCTGAGGATCTCTATTATTTTGGAGGTGGAAAGTATGATCTTCATAAGCTTGCACTGTGCTTTTGGTAATGTGGAGTCATCCTTCTAGTTGAAACCCTTAAAACAGTTCAGATTTTGCAGGACTGACTTTCCAGCAATAGTCGATCTGTCTTATTTAAGAACACATGTATAAAACAGAACCCTAAAACTTCTTTTTATAACATAATGAAAAACAGGTGGTACAGATTTTCATAACTGGAAAATGAGACACTAATAGATTATAGATACATAGCATTATACAGATTTATCTTTCTTTTGCCTGATCCCAGGGAGGTGTATCCCTTCTCACAAGGTGAAAATTGGCTCTAGACAAAGATTGCTAGACAGGCAATTCCCCTAATGCACTTGCACCCTCGTTAAGGATGAAGTAATTCACCAGACTTAGAATTGATAAGAAGATATCTGAGGGCCGGCCCAGTGGCGCACTGGAGAGTGCGCTGCTTGGGAGCGCGGCGGCGCTCCCGCCGAGGGTTCGGATCCCATGTGGAGACCGGTTCCTGCTCACTGGCTGAGCGCGGTGCGGGCGCAACACCGAGGGTTGTGATCCCGTTACCAGTCAGTAAAAAAGACAAAAAGGAAAAAAAAAAAGAAGATATCTGAGATATGATTGGTTATTTACTTAAAACAACTGTACTGAATGTTTATTAGCCGCTTTACTGAGTGACATAGCCTTATAAATGTGACCTTGAGGAAATTGTTATATATTACTGAATTTAATACTATTTGTTTCTGGTAAAAAAAAAAAAAAAAAAAAAAAAAGAAAGGTCCAACAAAGCTTTCTCTCGTTTTTTTAATTGCTAAATTTTACAAAACCAAGCCTGACTATAGTAGTTATATCTCAAGTGAAATGTGTTATGACGAGGAATAGCATGCAAATAATAGAATCTAAATATCTTATAAAATTAGTTGATTAGCAGTTTCATTGCTTATTACCTAAATAGGAACCTCTGTATTTTTTAAACGTGCTGGCAGCCTGCCTACTTCCTTTCCATTTCCTTTCTTTTATCACTGTTGGGCAGCATCAGAAGTACAGTCAGGTGTAAAAACTGAAAATAGAAGTAGATATAGTTGATAAATAAAGGATGGGTGTAAATTTGATAGTGTTTAATTTATTAGCGCTGTGAAAGACCAGATAATAGAAAGCTGTATTTATCCTTAAAATTTATTGTTGGTGTAAAAACTTTCCAGTGAGAAGAAAAGACATGACAAGTTTGTTTATTTCCACAGTGTTTAAAGAGTTACTTACTAGGACTGAACAAGAGAAATATGGTATTCCTCATATTCCCAAAATTGCTGAAAAAAAAAGTAATCGCCATTCAATCCAGGATGTACCAGGAGATACTGAACAGACATCACAAGAGAAAGGAAATAAGAAAGTTAAAGCAAATACTGTTTCCGGTGGAAGAAACAAAATCAGGAAAATTTTGGATAAAACACGATTTAGTATCTTGCCTCCAAAACTATTTAGGTAGGTAATCCCATTCTCAGTCATGTAGGAATTTTCTTATTGACTGTAAAGTTTTTATTGTACAGGAGGGAGGTTTGGGTCAGTTTTATTTTTTATACAACTAATGCATCATAAAATCTTCAAGTAATAGATATGTATGAAAGAATAGATTCTGAATGTGTCTCCCCATCATTTCCATGAAGTTACTACTGTTAGATTATGTAATCTTCCATTAGCATTCTTTTCAATTTTAGAAAAGACTGTCAGTTTTATTTTATGAAATCTATTTTCATATATTTTTAGTCTAATTTTAGTCCCCTGATGTACAAATTTGGACACCTTTAATCTTGGGACACATTCATTGCTATTAGTTTTTTGGTTTTTTAAAATTGTCTTTCCCTTATGGCACTATTTTTTCCGTCCTGAATTCAAAAGTTGAACTTTTTAATCAGATCTATTTTCTACTTCCAAAATTGCATATCATCAAAACTGAGTAATACGTGAGGATTTAAAATGTAAATTAAGGTCTGTAAAATACTGATGAAATCAATCCACTGAAGTGTCGTGATTGGACATAACTGTAGTGCATGTTATATCTATGTATGTTTTATATTATCAACTTCTAAACCAGTCACAAAAGTTCTAATAGGCACTCAATATTTGTTGAATAAGTTAAGAAAATGAGTTAATCAGTGAAAGAAAACATATTCAAACAAAATATTTGTTCAATCTAAATATTTATTTGGCTCCTGATAAGTTCCTGGCACTGTGTCAGATGATAGTTACATAGATGAGAAGAGGTAGTCCTTACTCCAAGGAATTCATATCAGGAACCTTTATTCTCCACACATTTAGTATATGGTAGACACAATGCCCAGAGACAGAAGGATGAAGCTAGCAAGTTTTTTGTTCTCCAAGAGTTGATAATCTAAAAGGAAAAACAGGCAAATTGCAAAGTTCTCACATTGCAGGGTGATACATTTTTTGATTTGTACAGAGTCAGGAACAAACTTGTTGGGTTTGAACAAACTTGTGTGTTTGTGTGTGTGCATCTAGAGATGAAGCAAGAGAGGTAAGTACTAGGTTATGAAGGACTTTGAATATTATGCTGGAAATATATACTTTATTATGTCATGATAGGGAGTCATAAGAACGCATGTGATGTGATAAGATTTGTTCTTTTAGGAAGACCTCTGTGATGGCCGTGTTATTGGTTTGGGGTTGTGAGTGCAGCATAATGACAGCTCTCATCTTTTATGAGAGCTGTTTCTCAATATTTTTTCCATACTTAAAAATCTCAAAGATTTCCTGATCACAAAATGCTCTTCTTCCTGAGTTCTTATTTCCAGTTAAGGAAACATACTTGGTGTTCATTTAATTTGAGACTGATAGAGGATTAAAACATACTGAGCATTGTTCTTAATCTCACTCATTTCATTACTCATTCCTGAGTAACTGCTTTCCTTGAGGTGAGTGGTTCATAAAAATCACAATTAAAATATCAGAATTTTAAAAATATTGAGCATACTGTAGCAAACACTAAGAAAAGGCTGTTCTCACAAAAGGAGATTGAATGAGGAGAATATTAGAGGGCCAACCCACACTGAAAAAGTTGGGTTCAATTTGGGATGACCAGAAGTCACTGTGGAGAAGGAAGGGGGGGGGCACTAGAAGAGAGAAAAGCGCTCACCAGGAGAGTGCCTCAGTAGGTAATACCCTGAATTCCACTTCCAGAAACCCTAATGGGTCTTGTCTGGAATACATATATGTCTTTTAACTGGTTATCCTTTTGGCCAGTGGCACAGTTGTGACATGTGTCCTCTAAAACCAGAGAACATTGTGATTGTAACTCACTTCAGCTTGTTAGTGTCTCATTCCAACCAGCTATATTCAAGTTTTAGGCAGCTAAATTGTCACCTCTCGCAGAGTGACAGAAATGCAAAGGATTACTCAGAGCCCATGTACCCAGAGCACTGAGAGGCCCAAAGTGACTGCACCCAGAGAGAACTCCTTCAAGAGAGAAGGGCCCCAGGCCCAGCACCGAGCCAGGCTTTCTCTCAGTTTTTATTGTGCAGGCAAGAAAGTTGCAGAAGAAATACAGGTGGTTAATCAATCGTAGTGAAAACATAAACAAACTGGCTACACAACGATTTTCATTAAAGCAGGTGTAACAAAATTAGTTCAAGCAACTTGCCATCAAAAGGAGTCATAAAACTAAGCTATGTGACATACAAAAAGAAACAATGAGATAATCACTATGGCAGTGCTTAGTTCCCTAAGAAACTCAAAGACACAGCTGAGGATAAGATATGCAACATCCCCCAACTGCTAACTAGTAGAATAGCCTTGAAGATTTTAGCTCACATACTTTCCCATCATTTAAGTTTAGCTGTACCAAGGGTGACTGCCCCGAAAGCAATCACTTTTGCTGTGTTTCAATTTTCTTATCTACATCAAAGACTTTAGTCCTGTGAAAGTTTTCTGGTTTTTCCCAGTCTTAGCATTTCTATTTGTGTTTTTAAAGAGTTGGGCTATAGCTTAAACTACAGGACTTTGGTCCTGCTAAACTAAGGACTTTGGTCCTACTACACTATAGGCTATGGCCCTGGGAAATACATGTGTTTTATTAATGTCAGTATCCTCAACACTAAATTAATATCTCATCTGTACATTATCCTTTTGGGAGTGGGAATTAGTTACGCTACTTGGATTCTATCTTGGTTATAGCAGGAAGCATGGAAATTCAGGTCTCCGGGAGCAGTCAGTTGAATATTTTCAAGCATTATTACTTTATATTGGTACTTAAAAAAAATAAAAAAAATAAATTGAAAGATCTAGTAGAAATAGTTCTACTTAAACTCAGAAGGGGTTTTTTTAATTAAATTTTTTTCAGTTATTAGTCAACAAGCATTTATTGAGTCTTTTGCTTTGTGCCAACAAAAAAAGCTGTTGGCTATGAATACAAACATGAATGAAAAGCTGCCTTTAGGAGTTCATATTAACCTGGCTGTCTCTTCTAAACATGTTTCAATGAATTAACATGCTAATCATTTCAGCCACATAAATACCAAGGAATTGATTATTTTAGTAGAAGTCATAAATGTTTCTAGAGCCTATTTTGTGGGGAGAGTTGGTTTGTCATTTTACCTGTCTGGCTGACTGCTTTGCATTTTTGAGAATGTATGTTATATCTTGGTACTTAAAACATTTGAAGTGAATTAAGACAATTCCTTTTGCTACACAAAAGTATATTAACTATCCTTTATGTATGAAGAGCTTTTAAAAATCAACTGGGAGGGCTGGCCCAGTGGCGCACTGGAGAGTGCGCCGCTTGGGAGCGGAGCGGCGCTCCCGCCGAGGGTTTGGATCCCATGTGGAGACCGGTTCCCGCTCACTGGTTGAGCATGGTGCGGGCGCAACACCGAAGGTTGGGATTCCGTTGCCGGTCCCCGGTACGGGCGCAACACCAAGGGTTGCGATCCCGTTACCGGTCAGTAAAAAAGACAAAAAAGGAAAAAAAAAATCAACTGGGAAAAAATCACTAAAACTTCAATAGAAAAATAGGCAGAAAACATGAGTCAGATGTTCTCTATCAGTACTAATCAAGGATATACCATTTAAAACAGGATACTATTTGTTTCATCAAAGACTGACAGAATAGTCAGGGCCAGAACTGATAATGTAAGATAGATAATAAGCTCAGACTGCTGTGATGTAACCTTTCTATAAAGCATTTTGACAGTTTTTATTAAGAAAACCATTTGTAAAAAATGGCCATGTTCTTTGATTCAGTAATTTCATCTCTAATAATTAGATGGTTTATTTATACATGTTCTTAGTTTTGTTACTTATAATAAAACAAAATTGGAAATACCCTTAGTTTATTTATAATAAAACAACTACAAGGGATTGGATAATTAAATTGTACTGTATGCCACAAAAAATGACTAGAAGGAAAAATATCAAAATGCTGAATTTGTAAGGTATGGTTTCATAGGTGAATTTCCCCCTTCTTTCCCTGCTTCCTTTCTGTAGTTTTTGGTCTTTCTACTTTGAATATTTGTTATTTTTTTAACTGAAAAAAAACTTTTTAAGAGTTCAGTTTCACAACTTTTGAGCATCTTGTATGTATTAGAGCTCTCTGGAAAAGGCACTGAGAACAGAGACTCACTTCTTTAAGAGTAGGGCATGAGTTGTCATAGAAATACTGTAAGAAAGAATGTCTGTGAGACAATCTGTAAGAGCAGCAAAGAAATGATGTAAGGAGGAACGTATACTTGAGATGAGAATAGATAATTCCAAAATTCCAATCCATAACATAATTTTAAAACAAAAGAATGTTCCTGAAAATTGAAATTTTAAAAAAGGTATTGATTTGAATAATATCTGTAAATTAAGACATAGCAGTATGGTTTTTATTGACCTGAAAATATTTCACAGTTCAGGAAATCTGATTTTCTTTTTCTTTTATTAATCCCTCACCTTTTCTTTAATCACAATTGCCTAAGTAACATCTTTATATTATTTATCGTACCATTCCCAGGGGTAGACTGCCTTTCTTACTTATGAGGAATTATTTTTTTTCCTCCCTGTTTCTTGTCAATATACTTTGTTTGCTTTTAATATTGGAATTATTATTATTATTATTTATTATTATTATTTTTTTGTCTTTTTCCGTGTCCGGCAACGGATCGCAGCCCTCAGTGTCGCCCCCGTACCGATATTATTTATCGTACCATTCCCAGGGGTAGACTGCCTTTCTTACTTATGAGGAATTATTTTTTTTCCTCCCTGTTTCTTGTCAATATACTTTGTTTGCTTTTAATATTGGAATTATTATTATTATTATTTATTTATTTATTTTTTTTTGTCTTTTTCCGTGTCCGGCAACGGATCGCAACCCTCAGTGTCACCCCCGTACCGGACCGGGACCGGCAACGGGATCGCAACCCTCGGTGTTGCTCCCGTGCCTTGCTCAGCCAGTGAGCGGGAACCGGTCTATATGTGGGATCCGAACCCTCGGCGGGAGCGCCGCCGCGCTTCCCAAGCGGCGCACTACAGCAGTGCGCCACCGGGCCAGCCCAATATTGGAATTATTTTTGATTTGCATATTGATGATATTTATATGGCCTAATTTTAGTTTTATAATATGAAACTACATACTTTTAAGTAAGTTTAGTGTCGGGGAATTATTGAGGAATTTCTCAAAACTGTCTGGTTTCTGTTATTGCATCACCTTCTCAGCAGACTTTTTTGATAAGAAATTACATAATTATTTGCCAAATGGGGTCTGTCAATTCAGCTTCCAAACAAGCATGGATATTTTGCCAGTTAAGTACTATTTCATTCATGTCATATCATGGATTATACATGAAAGTATAGTTTTCATTATACATGCTCCCATCTTAATTACCATGAATTTGTAGCAAGCTTTACCTGATTATTATCTATTGTTTATTAAAAAACAGAAGTAGCATTAAATAGTGTCAGTGAGAGATAAAAGGATTTTTGGTATTTCGTGCTCTTAATCTTTATAGTGAATTCAAACTTGCTGCAAATGATGCAGCTCATTCCCTTTTAATAGAAAATTGTAACTTTTTATTAGGACTGGCTAACCTCTTTAACAATTTGCTTCCTTGGATTCAGTAACCTTACCCTCTATGTCCAAAAATTGGCAAGTTTGTTTTCAAAAATCAATTATTAAAGCTTGTATTTTTTTTTTAAATCTTGGTTTTCTACATAATTTAAATATCTGTTAAAGCCTTTTCCTCTCTTTTTTTCTCTTACCTACCCTTAGAACATTTAACTAGCCTCTAGAAATATAAGCCTAATTATAAGGAGACAATTTAGGGTAAGCACAAATTACTTATCAGATAAGGTATTTCCTTTGCCTTAACTGTCAGATTTGACTGCTTTCTCTCCCTAGGAAAGCATTTCCTGTTTCTGCAATGCCTTTACTTGTTTTACCCACCCTGTTCCCCTCTACATTTCAATATAAATTGACTTAAAGTTTCTCCTTTCTAGGTTTGTAGTGTTCTCTTCTTGAATATAGGAATCCTATTTTTCTCTGTGCCAAAACATTCACCTACATTACTTAATTTAATCCTTACAGTAGTCCTGGGGTCTAGATAGTATTATAGTCATACATTGCTTAACAATGGAATATGTTTTGAGAAATGTGACGTTAGGCGATTTCATTGTGGTGCAAACATAGAGTGTACTTACACAAACCTAGATGGTATAGCCTACTACATACCTAGGCTATATGATATAGTGTATGCTCCTGGTGTATAAACCTATACAGCATGTTACTGTACTGAATACTATAGGCAGTTGTAACACATCAGTTAGTATTAGAGTATCTAAACATATCTAAACATAGAGAAGGTCCAGTAAAAATATAGTATTATAATCTTATGGGGCCACCTTCATATATGCACATTTGTCATTATGCAGCATATGACTGTATTCACATTTAAAGATGAGGAAATCAAGGTCCAGAAAGAGAAAGAAATTTGCCTGAGCTCAAACAACTAATAACCCAGGTCTGTCTGACATTAAAGCTTGCTCTTGAAACACTAATCTTTGCTTTTTGCATTTCTTTATGCTTTTCCCTGACTCTTCAACTCTCTTGTCCTGGCTCTCTCTTCCTTTTCTGCCTATTAACAATCCGTTAGCTGTTTATTTAACAGTTCTCTGCTCTCCTTCTTGCGTAGTTTTCTAATCTGTCTAAATCCTAAATTTTACTTCTAAAATATATTCCAAGTGTATCTGTACTTTAATCATTTCCATGATAATAGGTAAGTATTCTGTGATACCTCTGTTTGAATGTATAGCAAGTACTAGGCAGAATGCTGCATTGAATAAAATATTGATGGGAATTAATATTAACTGAAAGCACTGGTTTTAACATAAGTACAACCCTTAGAGAGAGGTAGCATTTTTGTTATTGTGCTGATGGAAATGTTTTTACTATTGCTACCATCTGTTTGTGGGAGGCTGTTCTATTTTAAAATTAAACTAATATTTTGGGGTATCTAAAACTTAAGTGACAGAATTGCGTTTCTTTGTTTTTATTTTTTCTCTTAGGTGGATTTAGAATTGCCTATGTGATGCTTCTAAAATATGTTAAAAGAAGATTATCTTTTTTGCTTAAATATGGCCATTTTCAATTGATACTTGTTTTTGAAACTTTTTTTTTTTCCTTTTTGTCTTTTTTCGTGACCGGTAATGGGATCGCAACCCTCGGTGTCGCGCCCGCACCTTGCTCAACCAGTGAGCAGACCGGTCTCTATATGGGATCCGAACCCTCGGCGGGAGCGCCGCCGTGCTCCCAAGCACCGCACTCTACCGAGTGCACCACCGGGCCGGCCTGTTTTTGAAACATTTAAAGAGAATTAATTAACTGTAGCTGACTTGCTTTCTGTTCTGCTTTTAATGTGCTTATCTAGGAAACAGCCAAATAATTAAGCTTGAGAGATTATACAAGAAATAATATGCAATCAGAAAGACAAATACCACATGACCTCACACGTATGTGATATCTAAGAAGAAAAGAAAAAAGTTGATACTGTGAGGCAGAAAGTAGAACAATGGTTACAGAGACTTGGGGGAGGCAGGGGACAGAGAGAGGTTGGTCGATGGGTACAAAATTGCAGTTAGATAGGAGGTATAAGTTCTGATATTTTATTGCACAGTAGGGTGAATATAGTTGACAGTTAAGTTTTATATATTAAATAATAGCTAAAGGAGAGGCTTTTGAATATTTTTGCCACAAAGAAATGATAAATACAAGAGGTGACCTGTACCTTAACAACCCTGGCCTGATTATTATACAACACATATATGTATCAAAACATCAGATTGTACACCATAAGTATGTACAATTACAGTGTGTCAGTTCAAATTTTAAGTATATATATGATTGCAAAAAAAAAATAAAATCTATGTAAAACACATTCATACATCATTGCCAATTCAGATTATGGTTGAATTCTCTGAAATAAAGCTGCTCAAAGTTTATATTTGGAAAAAAAGAATGTGCCTTTAGAATAAACTTCAGAGACTATATATATATTTATATATATTTTTTTAATTCTATTTTCCTTTCTGGCCTTCTTTCCTTCTTTTTAAAGACTTCTATTATTTTGTTGCCTTAACTTGGCCCCATTGTTATTTACAACCTGTCATATTTTTGGTTTGGCTTTAGTCCCAACTCCATCCTTTGCCTAGTAGGTCACCAAGATTTTCTGGAGAAAGAGAGAGAGAGAGAGAGAGAGAGACAAATAGGGTGGGAGGGAGAGAGAAGAGGGTGTAAACACCTTGGTATGGTGTGACTGCATTGTTAGCATCATATATTAGTTTCCACAGAAGCTGTCAAATTTCAAGGGCTACCTAACACTCAGGCTCAATTTCTCTACCAAAACCAGTAGAAACTAAATATGACTGTTTCTTTATGATGTGATAGACATACTTAGATGTATAAGTTAAATTTTATTTGAATATAATTGTTAAAAAACATTTTGTTGCTATTTTCGTCATTACAGTAGTCCCTTTTTTTCCTAATTGCTATAATATTTTTATCTAATTGTTTAAATCACCAGTTTGAATTAGTCCTGTTATGCCTTAGTGCACAGAGAACAGAAATGTTTACTGTTTAATTACCCTCAAATACCTTAAAGTGATTTATGACATTGTTTTGAAGTGATGGAGGCCTGAGCCAATCACAAGACGACAGCATTTTGGGAACAAGGCACTGTAGACATAGTCTGGCTATATTGCCTATTCCTGGAACACTCTCATCCAGCAGTCCCGATCTCCTGCAGCCTACCACCAGCATGTTGGATTTTTCCAATCCATCAGGTAATTTTTTTTATGTGATTTTATATAGCCATATTGGTTCCAGATGAACAAATAGACATTTGAGCTTTGTGCAAACAAATAGTGGATTTGCTTGCAGCCCTCTTCTGTTACCTATAGATTATAACTTGATGCAAAGAGCTAAAGTGAAGATTATGTCTTTTTTTCTAAACTTACTGGTACTTCTTCCAGAGTGAAACAGAAGTACATTAAAAAAAAGAAGACTGCTTTTCACCACAGATTTAGGAATTTTTTTGGTAATCTTAATCTGAGCAGAGCAATGAAAGCAGAGACACTTCTTCTCAGCCAAGAAATATGTTATCCAGGGTGTGGAAAAGAACAAGGCAGATTATTAAATCTAAGAGGCCTCACTTATCTTTCCCCGTGGTGTACAGAAATGTTAGTAGTTTTCTAAAAGTACTGATTTTTCCCCCAACACCTGAGCTAGAGTTATTGTTTTTGTCATGTATTGTTATCAAGGTATTATAGCATCTTTTTCATTGTTGTTCACACTTTCAGTGTGGGATGTTAATTTAGTTTTTCTTCATCTATTCATACCAGGAGGCAGAAATTTCATTTAACTCTGTAATCTAAAATTTTGTTGCAAATAAGAAAACCTTTGACTTTAAAGAATTGATTATATTTATATATCCATCACTTGAATGGATTTCAAATGACGTTCAATATTAGATACATAAAAACTGAAATATATAATTGGGTCTAAGGAAAGGAGGGGGAAAATGCTTCTTCAGAGATCAGTGTAGTTCTGATTCAGCTTCAGTTTTGACTGTAAAATTCCTAGCAGCTAGTGTAAAAAGGGAGGGAACCCAATTACATAAATCTTAGTATTAAAAAGAAGGAAATATGGGGCCGGCCCGGTGGCGCACTGCTATAGTGCGCCGCTTGGGAAGTGCGGTGGCACTCCCGCTGAGGGTTCG